CCGGGATTCAGCAGACAAGAAGACAGAGAGCCCTGTTTACCAACTCCACAGAGGACTGTTCGGAGAAGGGAGGATGTTCAGTGTTGGCGGTGTCATTCCTGGGGACATACCCAAGCACAGTGTTCACTGCAGGAGGAACCTATGGAATGTGGAGTTCCTCGGAGGGAATCGTTGTATGCTCGCAAAGTTTGCAACACCCACCTTCATCTTGGTGAAGGGAGATTTAAGTGTGAGGTGCAGGTGAATCACCTACCGGCCCTGCTTTGTTGGACTCAGGAAGCATGGTAACACTCATCCACACCAGGATAATTGGAAGAATAGGCCCGGTAAGCAAGACTTTACGGGTTGTGTGTATTCATGGGGACACTAGAGAATACCCCCTTATCCCGGTATCCATTTCCACTACCTGTGGCTCTGTTACCCAAGAGGTGGGGGTGGTTAGAAATTTGCTGCATGACATTATAGTGGGACGGGATTCCCCCTTATTTTTTGAACTATGGGAACATGTACGAGGAGAACTGTGTGCGGCCCCTAGAGACTTGGGGAAAAGCGACTCCTCCCCTTCTGAGGCTGAGGAGAATAACACAGAACTGCCTGAACTAATAGATGTTGATGATAATGTTCATGATTTTGTTGGTAATGATAATCCTGTCATTGATGCAGATACACCAGGTTCAGGGTCCGAGTCGACCTCTGAGGAGGACGAAACTTTTCCCTTGCAGGTTATGCTTGTGGAAGATGAGGAGGAAACCACCTCTACTCCTGCTCTGCCTGATTTGGAAGTTACCAAGGGGGATTTTGGAACGGCCCAAAAACAGGACCCTACTTTGGCCCGAGCATGGGAACAGGTGGTTGTCATAAACGGAATTTCCCAGGAGCCTGGTGCAAATGAGCGATGGCCTTACTTTGCAAGCAATCATGATGTACTTTATAGAGTCACCAAATTACGTGACGAGGTTGTAGAACAGTTGTTGGTACCCCAAACGTATAGAAGAAAGGTTCTTGACCTGGCACATAATGATGTTTTGGGGGACGCCTGGGAACTGAGAAAACGGAGGCGCGTATCACCAACTGGTTCTACTGGCCAGGTCTGAAAGCAGAGGTTAGGAAGTACTGTACCTCTTGTCCCACCTGTCAGTTAACCGCCCCGATAACGCACTTTTGTAGCCCTCTAGTCCCTCTGCCTATAATTGAGGTCCCATTTGAACGGATCGCAATGGATATTGTGGGTCCCCTGGTAAAGTCGGCTCGGGGTCATATGTATATATTGGTGATCCTCGATTATGCCACCCGGTACCCTGAGGCGATACCCTTGCGGAACACCTCCTCCAAAACGATTGCTCGTGAGCTGTTTCAGATGTTTTCGAGGACCAGTTTTCCTAGGGAGCTGCTGACGGACCAGGGAACGACATTCATGTCAAGAGTTATGGCAGATGTGTGCTAACTATTTGAGATTAAGCAGTTGCGCACATCAGTCTACCATCCACAGACGGATGGTTTGGTGGAACGTTTTAATAAGACCCTGGCTGCACCATTGACCGACTTGACTAAAGGTCGGAAGTCGGTCATGGTTCAGTGGAATGCGGATGCAGAAAAGGCCTTTCAGGAGCTCAAATTGGCACTATGCTAACACCCTGTATTGGTAGCTCCTGACTTTTCAAAGGAATTTGTTGAGCAACAGATGCCTCTGATGTGGGATTGGGAGCTGTTATGTCACAAGTCATCTATGGAGAAGAGCATCCGATAGTCTTCCTAAGTCGGAAGTTGACCGCGGCTGAAAGGAACTATGCCATAATTGAGCGGGAATGTCTAGCCATAAAGTGGGCTTTGGATTCCCTTAGATATTACTTGTTGGGAAGGAAGTTTAGGCTGGTTTCTGACCATGCTCCATTGACCTGGTTGCGACAGAGTAAGGGAACGAATGCCAGGATGGCCCGATGGTTCCTGGCTCTGCAGGAATTCAGGTATCTCGTGGAGCACAGGCCCGGTAGACTTCATCAAAATGCAGAATTTTTTTTTCAGTCTTTTTTTCTAAGCCCTATCTCTCTGATGAAAGGGAAATCAAACTGGACAAGCATAAGGGAGCAGGGAGTGTTTAGCTAGGAACCGTACTGACTGGCACAAAAAAGGAGAAGAAACAAGGGAACATGCCAAGAGCACAAATAAACAGTCAATAATATAATGCAATACATTGCAACAACACGTGTTTTAAAAAAGATTTCTAAGCAGTAGAAAAATTGGAGTTTTAAGGTGTCAGCAGAATTAAATATGATGTGGACAAACCATCAGTATATATATACACTGAGTGGCCAGATTATTATGACCACCCCATGAGTACTTCGTTGGGCCACCTTTTGCCTTCAATACTGCGGCGATTCTTCTTGGCATTGACTCCACGAGATGTTGAAAGGTGATGCGAGGAATCTGACACCATGCCTGATGAATAGCACTGTCCAGCTCTGTGAGATTTGATGGTTGTGGAACCAGCTGCCTGATGGCTCTTTCAACTTCGTCCCACAAATGCTCAATTGATTCATCGGACCACATGACTTTTTTCCAATGCTCGACTGTCCAATCCTTATGTTCCTGTGCGGATTGGAGACGTTTTATCTTGTTAACTGCAGACAGCAAAGGTGTTCGAACAGGCCTTCGGGTTCCATATCCCATACGATGCAGTGTACGGCGAACAGTGCGTTCAGAGATCATTTGAGAGGGACCCTGATTAAGATCTGCAGTAATTTGATGCACTGTTGCCCTTCTGTTGTCTTGTACCAGTCTTGCCACTCTCCATTCTGCCCTAACATTGACTAGTCGCTGACAGCCACAATTTGCACGTTCAGACCCAGATTTTTGGCTGACAGTCGAGTCTTTAAACAGCTGCTCTTGAACATTTAACAAATTCTGCTGTTTTGCTGATACTCGCTCCATGGCTCTGAGCGCCAACAATCATCCCACGTTCAAAGGCTGTTAAATTGCGTTATTTACCCATATCTCCAGAAAAGAAATCACTTCTACTGTCGTGGTAAACAACCTGCTTCCCTATTTATAATGGTCTGGCCCTCTAGCAACTTCAGCGCAAAATTATAGCTAATTTGCCTACAAACGTCAGGTGGTCATAATAATCTGGCCACTCAGT